TCGACACAGCGTCGAGACAGTCGGGGCGCACCCTAATCGCGGACCACTCTTTCATCGTCTCCACGAGGAGGACCCCATGGTTGACTCGATCGAGTCTTCGGAAGTAAGATCTAACGACTCGTGCGGGAGGATGAGTCACGCTTGCCCTATCGTGACATAGCTGTATTATTTTTATGGTGTTTTCGCGTGGCCACCATGATTCACGAGGCCCGAGGCTTTTCCCTTCGAGCGACGTATCCGCCACTACTATCCCCCTCTTCGATGACCGAGTTATATACGACTCTCTCTCGCGAATGAATCGTTCAAACTCCCAGAGCGATAGCCCATATGGAATCGTATAGTCCGCCGCTGCTAATTATTCCAGCCGGTGTGTGCGGTTTCGTTTAATAGGAAACATTTGTTAATACCGGAGGGAGTTCTCGCTTCCTAGCTCGTACATTTTCAAGGGCATAGCCTCTAACTAGCTCTTTGTCCAAGGACAAATTATTTCCATTCTAGAAACGCAGCTCGAAATCCGTTTTCATTGACTTCTGAAAGCGTCCATTTCTATTATAACATGTACGTACTACGTACATATCTTGGTTTTCAAAGGTTTCGCGAACAGGATCGCGTACATTCCCGTTTTTGGTTTCTACGTAGGGAACGAGAATTATTTACTAAACAAATACAAATTACAGTCTAATACGCCGCCTCTGTACGCCAGGGACGTCGTTTAATGGAGAAATCGATTCTCGTTTCTAGTGCAGGAAACCAACGTGTAGTATTCCCGGGGGTGTAAACAAAAGACAAGAGCGTATCACGATAACTCGACGACAAGCATGGAACAAAAGCCGAGTTACGTTGTCGCTGTTTTAATCGATTTGTCGCAGAAAGAAACGAAGCGGCACCGCTTTAGCCGAGCCCTAATGCGTCGATAAATCTGGAAATGCTGGTGCACGTCCATCGGATTCACGCGTTTGTTTCGGCCGTGAACACGTGTGCGCGCACGCACGTGTCTCGATTCCGTCAGATTTCCCGTAGGCGCCGGGCTTTTTTCTTCGCGCTTAGCAACCGACTTTTTTTTCCTTTCTGTCGAAATTCGAAAAACTACGTAGGCAAACGCCGTTGTAAACAGACAACGGGACGATATCATCGAGAAAAGGCTAGGAGAAAGCTAATTCACCGGATGCCAGAAAAATTCCTGACCGGCAAAAAATTGGACCTGTACCATGGGAGAATTGAATTTCAATGGAGACAGCGGCAATGGTTAGCGACGGCGTGCAGGAAATCTTCGCCTCGCGAGAATTAAAATGCACTTTAACGAGGTCGCGTTGGCACATCGACGTCGACGAATTTTCGACGTCGTGTCGCCGCATTGAAAAAGAAAATTCGCGAGAACTCGTGGATTCCTCTTGAATGGAAATGGAATAATTTCAGTAGGATCGTTACGTATGCGCGCGGTCAACGATCGTCGCTGGTGCGCCTGTGGAGAGCGTCTAACGTCAACTAAAATTATTACGGAACGATTATGCGCAGCGAAATAGAAAGGAAAAATGACGCGCGAAACGAAGACAGGAGAAAAAGAAAGGAACGAGAGGAAGAAACAAAGCACGACGAGAACGAGGGAGAGGCGATTCAACGAAGATGCCGTTAATGTTGTTCTCTCTGTCGAACCTTCTGGCGCCAAGAATTCGACAACGTCGAATTCTTGGAGTTTTTCGGAGAGATATTGGCATTCTTCTCGCGTTCTAGTTACGTGTCTCGTCACTGTGACTAAATTGGACTTATAGCAAAGGAATTTATTATTTTTCCCATGGTTAAACGAGTCACGATAGCTTTCAGAAACGTCTCTTCGAAACGGAATCAACGTGTTTACTTGAGAAAATTTCGCTATTGTGTCACGGACATTTGCGTCGAACGACACACTCGTCCAGGCAGATAAGCGAAACGAGTTTAGGGTCTCACTCGCGACTATACTAAACGAAATGTTATGTAATTCTCGCGCGCGAGGCCGGATGAAGGAAGGAAAGGCAGCGAAAGCGCCCAGTCGATTGTGACTCGCTTCCCTCAGCGAACGTCTTGAGCGCGAGCGAACGAGCTAAAGAGGGAGACTCGAAGAGACTAAAAGGAGCGGGTTGAGATCTAAGAGAAGCTGAGCGGAGGAACGTCGCGATTTTATACCAGCTTGGACAAAACATTTGCCAGCGAGCTCGCCAAAATAGAGGCATGCACCTGTCCCGTTAGAAAACGAAGATTTCTCTCTTCGTATCTCTTCGCCTCCATCTCTATCCTCGTCCCCTCTTCGCTCGTCTTTCTTTTCCTTTGCTTCCCTACCTTCAACGCGCAGCATTTGTTCGTTTTCCCTCGGCCTTGCTCGCTTCGATCGTTTTTCCTCTAGTCGCCTCTGCACCGCGATATTTCTCCCTTTTTCTTCTCCATTTTTTCCTACCCCTTCCTTTCCCTTCTTTTCCCTCCCCTTCCTCACTCTTCTCGACGATTCTCTCTTCGTTCTCACGACCGTTTTCTTCTACGCGCCCGTCTTGTATCTCCCGCGAGCGACATCTCCTTTCCCCTTTCTCGCGACGTTTCTTGTTGCTCGTGCTCGCCATAACGCTATTTCCGTCAGGCCACAGTGAAAACGTCGTAAGTCACTTAATGCTAGCTGGACATCGAGCTTCGGATATCAAAGGCTACGGTTTTAACGAGCAGAAAGAACACCGGCTCGATGTATGAAAACGATAACGAATCTTTAACCTTATTACACCGGTTACAACGCCACGAAACTTCTAGCGTACGGTATATTAGCATATGTGTGTACGTGTAACATGCAGACATAATATGTACATATTAGCTTCGACAGATTACCAGCGTAGATTCTCTTCTCTTCTTCTCGACGACCTGACCATTTAGCGACCGAATCGCTCCGAGCGACGTAGTTATCGCAATTGTTTCATCGATCGTAGAACGAAAAACGCAGCGAACAATTTTTCGCGAAACGCACCTTTTAACTTTTTTCATCGCACACGAACGTAGCGTTCGCGACGCGCGATTACTAACGCTTTATTCTAACGCGCGCAATTAGACGATCTAAAATTCTTGGATGTATTCTGCTCGCTTTAATCCAGAAGAGACAGACGCGTGGCTGCAACTTGGCCGGACCGGTTCATGAAACAGTCCTCTAATTGTTCACGAACTTCGCGCTTATTATAGGGTCTCGCGTTTCAAAGGAAAAACTTTGCCTAAAATGAGATTCACGCGAATGACGAGCCAGTTTCGAGTTCTGTAATACAATTGGACGAAAAGTCAGGACGGAAAAAAGGGGTTTGGTTTCGAACATGGCCTTCATTCTTTCTAGTCGAAAAGAAATTCTTTCTCACCGAGCCGAGACAAGCTAATAATATAATAAGCTTTTGTTTGACAGAAAACACTCCGGTCACGTTAAAAACCTTCTCCCGTCGAGCGTCCTATGGGAATGGGACCTTTCGTCTTTGTCCCTTTTTCCGTGCAACGATACGTTTCAACGATAGGCTGTCTTTCTTCGACGAGTTATCGTGGTGCCGGCGAACGGTATCAGTCAAAACATAGTATGTATCACGTGGCAGCGATCCTCGTCCATCGTGACATGGGAAATTCTTTCGAATTCAAGGACCGATTCCATCGAAGGGAGAGAAGAAGGAAAACAAGACCGGGTCGTTTTTCTTTCCCCATTGGATTCGAACGTAGAGATTGCTCGCGCGATCCTCGTCGAAGTTTAAACTCTTCGTAAAATATCTTCGCGTCGCCAAAATTTGAATCGCTCATAGGTTAATATGCGGAGCATCTAGGTCGGCTTCCGTAGATCGTGGCGCCGTTCCTGGAAGCAGTTGGTTTTGCGGTAACGTCTCACGCGCGAAGGTCGCCGCACCGAAGTTTCATCTCATAACATTTCGCATCTCGACTATCTCTCTCTCTCTCTCTCTTTATCTATCTATCTATCTATCTCTATCTCTCTCTTTTTGCAAATGCGTTACTAATTCGTCAGGCAAAGAAAGAGTGTTCGCGCAAAAACTCTCAACTCCGTTCGAAGGTGGCATAGAACTTTAGACGCCAAGAGAATAACGAAGAGTTGGCGATCGCGATGCAAAATACGAGGGGATCGTAGAATACATCGGTATCCAAATATAAACGACTAAACGGTTCGGTCTACGAGCCGTCTGGTTATTTATCCCGCTTTCCCGAGATTATCCAGGGAACCCTTGACAAAGGCTGTTCCGTTTGTCTCGTAGGGCCGTGATTTTGATTCGAAATGAAGACAGCCGCTCGTTTTTATTTTGACGAACACGCTTACAACATCCGAATC